TTATGGATGCCAAGGAAGTTGGAGAGTTACGAAGAAAGAGAAAAACACCTGAAAAACGTGTCAAAGACAGAAGAATGATGAAAAAAAACTAAGGCACCCCAAGAACCAGAATCACCAAAATAAACTCAAATATAATTTATAGTCGAGGCTTAATGTGAGTAACGAGTCTCAGCACGTCTTTTGAAAAACAGAGCCGCCAGTACTGGGATTCTACACACGAGTAAAGAATGTTGACAATGAGGGAGTCATCAATTTTTTTTCTTATTTTAGTTTTTTTTATTAAAAGAAAATTGTGACGGAGAAGAGAAAGCAAAGGCAATGGAATTGGCCGAAATCGTGGGAGAAGATGTTTCCTTTGAAGAAGTTGGTGATATAAAAAGGAGATATATGATATTTTAGTTTTAGATTTGTTTTGAATTTTACACCTTGTTTTCTATTTTTTAGCTGACCACGATATCAATCTAAGTGTCAGTTGCCGCACGTATTTTGTTATTTTTATGATATTTTCTTGTATTATATATGTTTTTCCTTTGTTCTTTTATTTGTAATAATTTTATCTTTATGAAATATTTTCCTACGTTTTCGCCATGTGTTCGGTGTTTTTTATTGATCGTTTGATCTTTTTTTTTATCTTAGCTTTCTCAGGGTTAGTTTTGACGATGTCCCGACTAATAAAGATGATGCTTATTTGTAATATTGTTGATCTTCCTTGTTGTGGATCTTCGGATTGAATTTGGATATGCGATTTGCGTTCGGAGATAGTTTTCTCATAACATTTGACTCTGAATTGCGATTGTTAGCGGTCTTTAAATAGTTTGATCTCATGTTGTGATTCGTTTGATGATGCAATCAGATCCGTTCGTATATGATTTTTCTCAAATTTCTATGATGAATTTTAACATTTTCCTTGTATGGTCCTATATGATTTGAAGTGACTAATTTATTTATGTTTCATTGTAATTTTGAATATTTCCTTTTTCAACAAATAAATAGTTTCAATTTGCATAAAAAAAACTAGACCTTATTTTTATTGGTTCAATATTGATTTAATATTTTGTTATATCAATTAAATGGAATTGATCATCAATTTTCAATTTGTCAGACTAATTTAGATTTTTATTTTTTATTTAACTTATTTTTAAAAAAAAAACTAAATTTAGGCTAAATAATAGTTGACAATGCATACCTTAACTCATGGAAGGTACCAATACCATTTCAAACCTAAATTTGTTGGCATTCTCAATATGGCATTCAATATATTATTTAGGCATTATGTAAGGCTTTGGAGTAAATCAAGGTTCTTCATTTTATCAAAACGAAATTGGAATATGTAAAAAAAAAAATCACTTTTTTAAATACCCAAATTGATATTTTGTTGAAAAATGGTAAGCTTAGGTGAGATTGTTTTTGGGATACCTTCACTTGTTCCATTGTAGTCTGTAAAATTTTGTCTTTTAGTCACTGCTATAACCTCCTCTTAATGACCCCTCAGAGTAGAAAAGATACTCTTATGTTCAAAGGTTAAAACTTTTTATTTTTGGATTTGTTTTTCCATTTTTTTAAAGGAATCATAAGAGAGACATGGAAGCTGTTTCAAGAACCAGAGGGCTCCTTTCATATCCTCCAAAACCAACCAAAGCTAGAAGCTTTTTGAACCCATCACAAGGCCTAAAGCAGAGGTTTTTTTGCTTCAAAACACTTGGACCTTAATGGGTTATCTTTGTCTTACAAAAGAATACCAAATGTTGAAGGAAAACCAAGTGGCTTACCCCAAAAACAGGACTTTGTCTGCAAGGCTGCTTCTGCAGGTGATGGGCAGCCATTTTCTGGTGAAACCGAGAATCCGAAAGTGCTTGGCGTTGAGCTTGTGACTCTTAAGAAGATCATCCCACTTGGGTTAATGTTCTTTTGCATACTTTTCAATTACACAATCCTTAGGGATACAAAAGATGTGTTGATTGTGACAGATAAAGGGAGCAGTGCAGAGATCATACCATTTCTAAAGACATGGGTTAATTTGCCATTGGCTGTTGGGTTCATGTTGTTATACACAAAGTTGTCCAATGTGTTGTCCAAAAAGTCCCTTTTCTACACTGTCATTATCCCTTTCATAGCTTTTTTTGGTGCATTCGGGTTCCTGTTGTATCCCCTCAGCAATTTCATCCACCCTGAATCTCTCTCTGATCATCTCCTTGCGGTTCTTGGACCAAGGTTTCATGGTCCTCTTGCAATTGTGAGGATTTGGAGTTTCTGTTTGTTCTATGTCATGGCTGAACTTTGGGGCAGTGTTGTCATCTCTGTTCTATTCTGGGGGTTTGCCAATCAGGTGAGTTGTATGATCTTAGAGTTTCGAGTTTTTCGGCAATGGTTTATCTGCATGATTGTATAAGCATGTTGGTTTTTGATGTATTTGTTCTTGTTAGATTCTCTAATCTCATTCATTAACTTCTTTTAGTATGTTCATTTGATTATATGTTTTCACTTTGCATCGTCGATTTTGCTTCCGACAGCCAGGTTGCTTTTCATTTGTACATCAGCTCATGTTCTATATTGCTTGTTGTGCAAGTGAACATGAGTATATAGAAACAGGTTATGGACCCTAGACAATGAGTGGACGATGAAGTTCTTGATCATCTTTTTAACATTCAAAATCCTAACTTTCGATATTTTTTATGCAGCATTCAACGAAGCATGATCATCTCATTCGTGTTACGTTTTTTTAAGTGCAAACCTATAACTTCAATTTCTATGCTTTCTATACTGCATTCTCTATTTTTTCTGCACTAGCTGCATTTTTCTTCACACAATTTTGAGAGTTATGTACCTAAATTTGCATTTTCCTTGTACAGATAACTACAGTAGAGGAAGCAAAAAGATTCTATCCGATGTTCGGACTAGGAGCGAACATTGCCCTCATTTTCTCGGGTCGAACTGTTAAGTACTTCTCTAACTTGAGAAAGAACCTTGGTCCTGGAGTTGACGGTTGGGCTGTCTCCTTAAAGGGGATGATGAGCATTGTGGTGCTGATGGGATTCACTATCTGTTTCCTTTACTGGTGGGTGAATAAGTATGTTCCACTTCCCAAACGTAGCATGAAGAAGAAGGTAATCCGTATGCTGCCTATTCTTCTCGTTATCGTATTCGTTTTCTTCTATTCTTAGGCTCTAGGATCTACTAATCCGGTTTCAAATGTTATTATTATTTTTAGGCAGTTATGTTTTTCAGTTCCATTCCATGCCATTGTATTTGCTGACTGATCCTAGCACCGGTTACCCTTCTTTCGATTCTGTGGATAGCTCAAATCGGAAGTTTTCCGTGCTTATATTGCATATGCATGTGAGTGAACTCATATTGTCAATCTTTCTGCAGAGTAAACCTAAAATGGGAACAATGGAGAGCATGAAATTCTTGGTATCTTCACCTTACGTTAGGGATCTTGCCACTTTGGTAGTTGCATACGGTATTAGCATCAACCTTGTTGAAGTTACATGGAAATTGAAGCTCAAAGCACAGGTAAGATTCTATGTCAAGTGGAAGAAATCTTAGCAGGCTTGTTAATTTATTGATTCTCCCTCGATATTGCAGTTTCCGAGTCCGAATGAATACTCCTCTTTTATGGGTGACTTCTCAACTGGCACAGGAAGAGCAACATTCACTATGATGCTACTAAGTCAATTCATATTCGAAAAATACGGATGGGGAGTGGCTGCAAGAATCACACCCACCATCCTGCTTCTGACCGGAGTTGGTTTCTTTTCGTTGATTTTATTCAGCGATCCACTCGAACCGGCTCTTGCGAAGTTCGGTATGACCCCTCTTCTTGCAGCTGTATACGTTGGTGCCATGCAGAATATTTTCAGCAAGAGTGCAAAGTACAGTTTGTTTGATCCATGCAAATAAATGGCCTATATTCCTTTAGACGAGACACCAAGGTTCGGTATTTTTACCCGAAACTCCGAATCTTTTGTCGAACTTCTTGATCACTTACGATATAACTTACTCGATGTTATCTCTAGGTTAAAGGGAAGGCTGCAATTGATGTTGTATGCAATCCACTAGGGAAATCAGGGAGTGCTCTGATTCAGCAGTTTATGGTCTTGACCTTTGGATCACTGCAAACTCAACCCCAAGTCGTTGGATACACAATTCACCACAATATGTAAGAAAGAAGAGCTCGAGAAGGAGACAGAACAAAAAGCCGTTTAGATCCCGGTCGTGTCCGGACCCGAAAATGGCTCAATTGCAAGTGACTCGTTACTGAACACGGGTGACTCGACAGAAACTTAACCTGAAGATTGACCGATTCGAATAATTAAATATTGAAACACACTTCTTTTTCTCGTAATGAATCGTTATTTCTTCATTATAACAATAACAATTCCGCGGTTAAATATATTATTATTTTATGATTGTTTACTCGTCATTATCTGCAACACATCGACCATGTTTATCACCGCTCATTAAACTGTTAATTTTCGAAGAACACGAATATGATAATTGACGGATAACAAACGCATGTTTTATCTGATGAACTCAATTGGCTAAAAGTGGGATATGAGCAAGAACAAAAGGAGATAGACAATACGAATTATGGCTCCTATCGTCTGAATACATACAAGTATGTATTAAGATATCTATTGGTTAATAGTGGAACTTGTCTCTTGTTAAACGACCTTTAAACTCTCCTAAATTTCAAATTAATTATAATTATCTGAAGATATTATCTGTATAAATCTATTCAAATCAGTAATCTTCAAGGGTATATGAACCTTTGTATCAATTGACCTTATATTTAATGGGCTTGTTGATCTGTTCTAATGTTAATTAAATTAATATTCGGTCAACAAATTGATGACATTCTTTGATGTTAATTGATAAGTAATAAAATATTTTTATATTAATATTTTTATTACACATTGTTGTCGAAGGGCAACAACATCCAGTTGTGTTGAATTATATCTGCAGTTTGATTTTGAAGTGCCCAAGTATTTACCAGAATCATGGGCAATCACTTCGCCATACCTCTCGGTTTCGAGAATATCCTCATTCGTTGTTGGAATTCCACTGTTGGACAGGCTAATCACGTATGCAAGGTTAAACAAACTCTTCCAGCTTTGTCTACTGCTCTTGATGAACTGAAGGCACGGAGGAATGACCTGCAACGGGAGGTTGTTTTGGCCGAACAACGGCAACTGAACCGACTCGATCAAGTTCAGCTATGGCTTTCGAAAGCAGAAACTATGATAACAGAGGCGGAAAATCTGATTGCAGATGGCCCTCAACAAATAAATAACTTGTGTCTCGGCGGTTGCCTCTCCAAGAATTGCCTGTCTACCTACAAGTTTGGGAAAAAGGTGGCCAAAATGCTTCAAGACATAAGGGATCACATGAGTAAAGGAGTTTTTGATAGGGTAGCAGAGACTCAGCCAGCATCTTCAGTTGTAGTAAGACCTGAGGATCGGACAGTTGCTCTTGAATCCACCATCGACAAGGTATGGAGCTGTATCATGGACAACGATGTGGGGATCATTGGCCTCTACGGCACAGGAGGCGTTGGAAAGACAACACTCTTGACCCAAATCAACAACAAGTTCAGCACAACACCACAGGGTTTCGATATTATAATCTGGTCGCTGGTGTCTAAAGATTACAATTTTGGGAAGATTCAAGATGAGATTGGTGGGAAAATTGGGTTTTCGGATGAATCTTGGAAAAATAGAAGTGTTGACCAAAAAGCTGAAGATATCTATGGAGTCTTGCGCCAAAAGAGATTTGTTGTATTATTGGATGATCTATGGGAGAGGGTGGATTTGAACAAAGTTGGGATTCCAAAACCAACCCAAGAAAATGGTTCCAAACTAATTTTCACCACTCGATTAAAAGAGGTTTGTGGCGAAATGGAAGCTCGATATAAAATTAAAGAGTGTGGTGGACTGCCTCTTGCACTGATTACGATCGGCCGTGCCATGGCTTGCAAGACAACACCTGGGGAATGGAAATATGCAATTGAGAAGTTGAAGCGATCGGCGTTACACAAAATGGAAAATGAGGTATTTCCGCTTTTAAAATTCAGTTATGATTATCTAGATCCCACAATGAAATGTTGCCTCCTATACTCCTGTCTGTATCCTGAAGATTATAATATTCCCAAAATGAGATTAGTGGAGTATTGGTTTTGTGAAGGGTTGTTGAATGAATTTGATAGGATTAGTGATGCTCAAAAGCAAGGACACAACATTATTGGCTCTCTTCTCAGTGCCTGTTTACTGGAAAGAGATGGAGAATATTGTGTGAAGATGCATGATGTGATCCGAGACATGGGTTTGTGGATAGCATGCGAGCTTGAAGAGAAAGAGAAGAGTTTCTTTGTAAAAGAACGTGCTCAATTACTAGAGGAGCCAAATGTTAAGGCATGGGAAGGTGCAAAAAGAGTGTCGGTGATGAAAAATAAGATTAAAGTTCTGAGAGGAACCCCTAAATGCCCTAGCCTTCGAACTTTGTTTCTTACCCAAAATAAGCTGCAGGTGATCAATGATGGCTTCTTTCAGTTTATGCCTCATCTAACTGTTTTGGATTTGTCGCGGAACATAGATTTAAAAGCACTACCAAAGGGAATTTCACGATTGATTTCTCTAGAATGTCTTGATCTATCTGGAACTGGTATAACAGAGTTGCCAATGGAAATGACATTCTTAACCAAACTGAAAATGTTGGACTTGAGTGTCATGTTTCATCTCGAAAGAATCCCACAGAATTTGATATCTAGTTTTTCCATGTTGCAAATATTCAGGTTGGGGATTGACGTGGCTGTAAGAGGAGGTTTCCCGAAGGAAGACAATGTTCTGGATGGGAATGATAATGAAAAGCTTATAGTGGAATTGAAAAGTCTGCAACATCTGAATATATTAAGGATACCAGAGATACAAAGCATGTCTGCTCTACAAAGTTTTCTAAGCCACCACTTGTTTCGATGCAGCACCGAAGCACTAGAGTTGTGGTATTTTAGGGAGACAAATGTGTTTAATGTTTTATGTTTAGAAAACATGGAGCGTCTGGAGAGGTTAGCTATCTATGGCTGTGGAAACATGGAGGAGATGAAAATGGAAAAACTGCATACCAGGGGTTCTCCGAGTACTAATTACACTTCAGGCTTCCACACATTGACAGGAGTTAGAATTTCTAGTTGTTACAAATTGAAGGACGTTACCTGGCTGTTTCTTGCTCCAAATCTCAGGTCTCTTTCGATAGCTGGGTGTGCAAAAATGGAAGAAATACTGAGCGAGGGAAGACTCGGAGATGTTGCAGATGTGGTGGGAATTCCATACCCTACACCATTTCTGAACCTTCATACACTTCGTCTATATAGACTACCGGAATTGAAGAGCATATACTGGGATGCCCTACCCTTCCCATGTCTGAAAAGTGTTTATATAGAGGACTGTCCAAAACTGAAGAAGCTTCCTCTCAACTCTGACAGTGCAAAAGGGAATCACATCACCATTAGGGGATTCCAAGACTGGTGGGAACAGCTAGAATGGGAGAATGAAGCCACTCGAAATGCTTTTATGCCATCTTTTCAAGAGCCTTTTCACGGAAGAAATCTATTGTGAACCTCATCGTCTCATCCCTATTTTTCCTTGCACTTGTTTATTGAAGTGAAACAATGTCAAATTTTTAATTAGGGTAAACAATATATATATATATATATATATATATAATTTATGTATTTGAACTTGAAATTTAGTCAAATTATCAATCCTATTTTTATTTGACTTAATTAGTTTTTGGATAAATTAAAAATTCATTACCTAAATTATTAGTTTTAGTCTGTTTTAGTACTTAAACTTTTAATTTTTTCAAAATCATATATAATGTTTAGTTTTCATTTCATTTTAATACCACTGTTAAATAATTAACACGTTTGGTACCTAAACTATTAGTTGTAGTTTATTTTAGTACCTAAACTTTCAATTTTTTCAAAATCATACCTAACATTTAGTTTTCATTTTAGTACATTGTCGTTAAAAAATTAACGCATTTAGTACCTAAACTATCAATTGTGATTTGTTTTGGTACCTAACTTTCAATTTTTTTCAAAATCATACCTAATGTTTAGTTTTCATTTCATTTTAGTACCCGTCGTTAAAAACTTAATGCGTTTAGTACCTAAACTATAAATTTTGGTCTATTTTAGTACCTAAACTTTTAAGTTTTTCAAAACTTTATCTAACGTTTAGTTTTCATTTTATTTTAGTACCCTGCCGTTAAAAAAGTAACACGTTTAGTACCTAAACTATCAGTTGTGGTTTGTTTTAGTACCTAAACATTCAATTTTTTTCAAAATCATACCTAACGTTTAGTTTTCATTTCATTTTAGTACCCGTCGTTAAAAATTTAATGTGCTTAGTACCTAAACTATCAGTTTTGGTCTATTTTAGTACCTAAACTTTCAATTTTTTCAAAATCATACCTAACGTTTAGTTTTCATTTCATTTTAGTACCCCGTTAAAAAATTAACACGTTTAGTACCTAAACTATCAGTTGTGCTTTGTTTTGGTACCTAAACTTTCAATTTTTTTCAAAATCATACCTAACGTTTAGTTTTGATTTCATTTTAGTACCCGTCTTTAAAAACTTAATGCATTTAGTACCTAAACTATCAGTTTTGGTATGTTTTAGTACCTAAACTTTCATTTTTTTCAAAATCATACCTAATGTTTAGTTTTCATTTTATTTTAGAACCCCGCCGTTAAAAAATTAATGTGTTTAGTACCTAAACTATCAGTTGTGGTTTGTTTTAGTACCTAAACTTTCAATTTTTTTCAAAACCATACCTAACATTTAGTTTTCATTTCATTTTAGTACCCGTCATTAAAAACTTAATGCGTTTAGTACCTAAACTATCAGTTTTGGTATGTTTTAGTACCTAAACTTTCAATTTTTTCAAAACCATACCTAACGTTTAGTTTTCATTTCATTTTAGTACCCCACCGTTAAAAAATTAATGTGTTTAGTACCTAAACTATCAGTTGTGGTTTTTTAGTACCTAAACTTTCTTTTTTTCAAAATCATACATAACGTTTAGTTTTCATTTCATTTTAGTACACGTCATTAAAAACTTAATGCGTTTAGTACCTAAACTATTAGTTTTTTTTTGTTTTAGTACCTAAACTTTCAATTTTTTTAAAATTTAACTTTAAATTTTGAACACGATACTAAAATGAAATAGAAACTAAAGTTTTTAACGACATGATATTAAAATGTAGTAAAAACTAAACTTTAGGTATGATTTTGAAAAAGTTGAAAGTTTAGGTACTAAACGCATAATTTACCTTAATAATTATTATGATGATATCTTTATAAAATTTTGGATTGAATTGGTGTCACCAGTTAACCGATTATCAATTAAGTGGAGAAATTATTAAAATCTGTCTCTTTTAAATGCATATATTGATTCTTCCAAAGTGAATAGGGGATTCAACAAAAACACTTACATGGAGGAATGCATAAAATGTCAACAAAATCATGCTATTTAGTGATAGCTTATTGAAAACATCTGAACTTTTTGCTACAGATTATGGTATAAGGAGTTCTTATATAGAAAAGAATGGAGCGTAGAGTGTGAACGGAACACGCAATCCGTCGTAGCTCAGCTGTACGTCGAAGCCCTTGGTTTCTGTCAAGTTTTCGAGGTCTCTGTTCACTTCTTCATGGTCCATGAGACGCATCATGCCTTCATAAATCACAAATTGCATAATTAGGCAACCGATAAGAAATGATATTTTCATAGTTACACCCTGCAGACGCTGAAAACTGGAAGAATGATCACATCAAACAAATAAATGGCCGTAAAGACGAAAGCCCTTTAAACGGATAGCATCTATGTTACTCCGACTCTTCATTTTTCTAGAAGTATCAATAATTAACATATTTTGATACGAGTAAAGAGGACTCGAAGCACATGAAAAAAATTTGAGAACATGGGACCAGGGATGGACCTAGGCGGGGGAGGGTTGGGGCGGTATCCCAAAAAATATAAAGTTACCATATATTTTAGATTTTTTATGTATTTTCTATTGACAATATGTTTTCGTCCCCCTAAAATTTTATTCATCCCCTCAAAATATTATAAATTCTAATTCACCCCCTCTAAGATAAAATCTTGCGTCCGTCTCTGTGTCTTATAACACACACAGGGCATTACCTGATGTAACAAACATTACCAAAACGAAAACCTAGCAAACGAAAACCATGACCGTGCGACACTGGTAAAGGGGTAATCTGAAGCACAGTATCGAGAGCGAAAAAGCAAGTTAAGACTATATATGTATGATGTTCAAGGGAGTTGTGTATCCGCACCAACTTTCATCGAGTTAGATGTCAACATGTTAATTGATTATTAGGAAAATTTAGGAGATAATATATGTATGAATGTAGCAAAAAGTAATCAACTATACTGAATGGTTATATGTAAGAGCAACCCGAAACAGAGATAACCTGTCTTTAGGACATGATTCATTTTTCAACAATTAAAACTTGGAACTCGAAATGTTTCATTACAGTTTTAGGAATGCACGTAGAAAAAGAAATTCTAGTTCACCCCATGTGATGTCGACAATGAATCTCCTGTAAATCATGCACAACGAAAGGTTCTTCATGTATGATCTTAAACTGCTGCTTGGAGACTGCAGTACCAGGTACAATCCAATGTTGCACTGATACGGATATGAGGACGGGGACTGGAAACAGCAATTTCTAAAATTACAAGTACGGAGACGGTAAGGTACAACGTATAAAAAAATTTAAAATTATAAATAGATATAAAAAATCATATATAAAATCAATACTTCATATAAAATTGGTGTATCACCCTAATTTAACCCTAATTAAAATCCTAACAATCCCTATCAGTGGTAACTATCCCTGGGGACGTCTCCGAAACGTCCCATATAAGCTTTGACCATCTCCGAATTCGGTCAGCCGTACCCTGCCCAGTCCCCGATACGTACCCCAGCCGTCTCCGTGCCTGAAACGTATCGGGTACTTGAAACGGGGCTCCTTTTCCATCCCCGTGCTACTTAGGTACAATCACACCTGTATCTACCAAATAAAAATGACTCTTCTTCATCACCTGAAATTGTTATAGAATCCATTAAACGATAATTCGGGATGTCAAAGCGGAAATGTTCCGTACATAACAAGTCACTTCAAAAGTTCAATTTATTTGTCGTTGTTACTTACTTTTTCCAAAATCTCAACCGGAAATAAAAGATCAAATTGTATTACAGTACAAAGTAAGAGATATAGAGCTAAAGAATTTTAATAGCAATCATTCCGACTAGCACACTACAGCAGTATAATGTTCAACGATGAATATACGACTCTTAATACATTATCCCTTCGCATCGTTGAATGAGATTTACTTTTGAACCAGTCTTCATTTCATGTTCATTTATTACCAGAGACACGAGCAAACATGTATATACAATGTTCAAACTGCAGCAGGAAAAAGGTAGAACTGGATTTTGGACCTCAAAATCACGCTTGGAAACATAAATTGGGTGCTTGGCTGAACATTGTTTCTCCAGTCACGTAGATCATCAAGACCTGGGGGAAGCATAAGGTGAGCTTTCATGTTAAACACTCCAATTGCATCAGCATGAGAATGTATAATTATAACCGCATCAATTGTTCTTATCCTGACAGAAATGCAACCAGTTACAATGAGAAAATACACGATAGTCGACATATGTACTATAAAATAACCAGAGAAGCATTCCGAAGTGGTCTTTGATGCTGAATGACCTTGAAGGAACGAGAATAACTGGAGAAATTAACATTCCTATGGGAGCGATACACCTAAGGAAGCATCAAAATGGTGCAAAAACGGGTACATGCTTACATTATTCACAAAATCGTATTTACACTTCATTATAATATGCTCTTATGCTAGTTTAGGCACTGGGAATTGTTTACTTTCATACCTGCAACCAATGGTATTATGTTCAGTATAAAGAACACTAACTAAATAATATTTAAATGGCAAAACAAGAAAAATGGTTCTTGCACGCAAATTAGCATAAGAAAACTAGCAGGCTCATGGCACCTAGTGTAGATGGAGACATAACTATAATATCACCGAACCGTAAACTGATCAGTAACTCGAAATACAATAACTATGAATGATAGAACGCTAAAGTGTACAGCAAATAAGCAACCCTGTAAATGCCATGGACGTCCAATCATCTTAAGGCGTATGGGATTACAACAGGGGAAAGTTCAAAGAAAAGAAAAAGAAGTCATATGCATGAGTATTCTAAGATTACCACAAAGGCTAGAATTTCTCCGTTCAATGATCATAATTCAGTGCGATCAAATTCAACACCATGGAGTTTCCAATATCTATATGCATCATATATAAATATTCAAAACTTTAAGAACGAGCAAAAACTAACCCATATGCTGGAAACCATTGAAGAGCACTGTGGTAGAAAAACCTACAAAATAAAGTCAACAATTGAGAAATCATAGCAGATAATTATCTGGGGATTAAAGAAGCAAAGTAACAATTTAGCAGCCATTGGGCAGTTATATTTGAGGTTTCAAAGAACAAGTTTAGTAATAATGACCAAGAATGCAAGGACATGCAACAACAACAACAACAACAAAACCTTATTCCCATATGTAATGGGGTAAGGGGGAGGTAGGGTAGTAGGCTGCCCCCAACGCCAGGTTGAGAGCAGCTTCCGTGAAAGACCTCCGGCAGTCAGAAAATTAAAAATAAAGATAAAATATAATGCATGTATAAATAAATAAATAAATAAATACATAGTTGAACAGTCTTCATATGCAGTCTTCATATGCGCGTCTGTAATGAGAAGTAATCCCTGCAAATAAATCCCTGCGTAAAAATCTCTGCATATAGACAGAAACGTAAGACCCGGCTAAATTTAAAAAGAGGAAACATGAAGAGAAGGATACACAGAAGTCAGCGATAGCAAGCTAAGAGAAGGAATAAAGTGAAATGGGTTAAAACCTAAACTAAGGCAACACTACTTCGCTACCCTAGTTCTAAGCCTTCATAAATTCCAATGACAGAAACGTATAAAAAGTAGAAGTCATGGAAATTACTACAAAGGCATCAAAAAGAAGACAGAGATGCTACACCCTATGGTTGTGACCTACACTACTCGACTACCCTGATCTTAAGTCTCCATACTTTCCTATCAGAGGTCATGTCCTCGGTAAGGGCTAAATCCTTCAAATCAGATCTCAAGCAGTCTACCCTCCTGACCGCATCCGACGGTTGTCACCTAAGGACATGCCCAAACCACCGTAGTCTTCCCTCCCTTATTTTTCGGATACAGACACCACCCCCAAGGACATCCTAATTGCAGAGTTTGGTGTCATGTCCCACAGAGTCCTACCACATGCCCATCGAAGCATTCTCATTTTTGCGGCCTCCATCCTCCTTACGTGATACTTCTTGATTGCCCAACATTCTGATCCATACATCAGCGCTGGTCTTATTGTCATTCTATAAAATTTTCCCTTAAGTTTTAGAGGCACCTTCTTGTCACACAAAACTCCAGTAGCAACCCTTCACTTTAGCCATCCCACCTTTATACGGTGTGTGACGTTATCATCTACACCCTCATCTTTATGTATCATTGACCCTAGGTACTTGAAACAATCCTTTGAGGGGAGAACGTGTCCTTTTATGCATACTTCTACATCTTCATTGTTTTGGTTCCCACTGAAATTTGAACATAAATACTTTGTCTTTTCAATATTGATCCTTAGACCTTTTTCTTCCAAAGCAGACTGTCAGGTAGTCAGTCTACTATTCAACTCAGTTTTTGTTTCAGCAACTAGGACAATGTCGTCAGCGAAAAGCATACACCATGGAACACTGTCTGGTGTCGCACAATAGATGTCGTTCATAATCAAGGAAAAGATGTAAGGGCTAAGAGATGACCCTGGTGGAGTCTGATTTCCACCGGGAATGTCTCGGTGTCGCCAACTGTAGTCCTGACGTATGTAGTAGATCTACAGTACATATCACGAATCGCCCGGATATAAGCAGTTGGGATCCGTCTCGTTTCCAAGGTCTTCCAGATCGTATCGCGTGGAACGCTATCATACGCCTTCTCAAGGTCAATGAACGCCATGTGAAGATCTCTATTTTTTTCCCTATATTTCTCCATAAGCCATCGAAGTAGATGAATCGCCTCCGTAGTAGACCTGCCTGACATAAAGCCAAATTGGTTTTCCGAAACCCTAGTAACCTGTCTCAACCTAGCCTGTGACTGAGTAGTTTAATTCCTCTGTAGTTGCCACAACGTTGGGGATCTCCTTTATTCTTATAGATTGGTATCACCGTAGACTCTCTCCACTCCTCTAGCATCTTGGCAGTCTCTAAAATAATATTAAAGATGTTGGTCATCCACTTAACTCTCTCTTCTCCTAGGGCCAACCATACAGTGATCGGAATTTGATTTGGACCGACAGCTTTGTCCCTCCCCATCTTTCTAAGAGCCATTTTGACTTTCTCAATCTCAATCCTACTTGTAGGGCAGTCATTAGCCGTAGTATGATGGTCGGCTGACCCATCAACGGTACTATCTCTACCGGTAGAGGCACCGTCATTAAATAAGTCAAAGAAGTAACTACCCCAAATCCTAGGACATTTAATTTTGGAAAGGTTATCCGGGTTCAGGCATTTAATCGACCAATAATACTTTTGAGTTGAAACTTTTGATCGACTGCTTTTTTTTTACCGAGAGGAAAAGAGCAGTTCGCTTATTGAGTCTGTTATGCACTTTAGTTTTTTCATTCCCCTTCTACTTGTTAACTAATAACTATTTAGAGGTAAGAAAACAATCAGTCAAATGCAAGCAACTAAAATAATTGTAAGACCATTTTATCTCATTAGAGTACCCTTCTACCTATTTTTCGGCATCTATTAGAGTTAGAGGTGGTAAATGGGTCATTCGAATCGGGTTTGGGTCGGATAATTTTGGGTCTAGATTAAATTCGGTATAATTTTGTTCGGATCGGATCAGATCTGGTTCGGATCTAGTTTGGGTGTACGGTGAATCGAATTGGGTCAGGTATCGGGTTGGGTCAATTTTCGGATCAGGTGATTATTGGATTGGTTATTTTTCAGTTCAGATCAATATCGGATCGATTAATTTTTAGAAAGGTTCAATATAGGGGCGATTGATTTTTGAGTTGGGTTAATACTAGATCTGTTAGATTTCGGGTCAGGTCAATATCGGATCGGTTGATTTTCGGTTTATGTCAACCTTTAGATCATTTAGGTTTAATTTAAATTATCAATCGTTCAATGTTTGGAATTAAACCATCATTTAGAGATGATGAATCAATAATTTGACACAAATACAATCCTATAATACGTGTTAAAATTTGTTATCAAAATTTTATATTGATCTCGTATGAAAAGTTTATAGTGAGAACTATTTGATAAAGAAATAAATTTTTTATTTAAATTTATTTCCAATTATAAATTTAATATTTTTTATTAAATTTTAAAAAATTATACATAACTTTATTTGTTAAATTTTAGTCGTAACATAAGTAAACTTTATATTATTTTTATTATAAAGCTAATATTATTTCCTTTGTTTTAGTTGTTTTCTATTATTTTTATTATAAATCTAATATTTGTATAACAAGTAAGATAAGTAAATTTTATTTATTAATGTTTTCAATCTTACAATTAGATTCTTACTTTTATATTCCTCTTAAACTTTCTATTATTTTATTATAAATCTAATATTTTTAATAAATTATCAATTTTATTTAAATTAATTTATTATTGAAAATAACTTTTATCGTTTAATAACTTTTATCAATTTCAATATGTTCGGGTTACTTTCGAGTCGGGTTAAATTCAGGTGCTTTCGAATCGGGTTAAAATTCGGTTCATGTTTCTTTCGGTTCGGGTTGCTTTTTGATTCGGGTTAATTTCGGTTCTGATTGATTTCAGTTTCGCTAAATTTTGGATCGGGTATGGGTCGAGTACATGATCAAATTTGATTATCATGTTCGGGTTAATATCGGGTATTGGATCGGGTAATCGGGTTCGGGTCAAGTTTGTCGGGTCTAATTAGAATGGCGCATCTTCCTGAAGGCTTAGAATAACAAACAAGTACGCTTGTATTAAGCCTTCGGTTTTTGTTACCGGGCACCGCAGCTTTGGTGCACACCTACAGAATCATTGAATGTCTTCAATCGAGTAGAAAGAAAGCAAGGCAACACTACTTGTGATCAAGAGATCAGCTCTGATGAGCATCAATGCCGGGCACTTCTTTACGGGATCAGTTAGACAGCTGACTCGAGGAACGCCTTCACTGGTTCCCGTCCCTACAAAAATGATCTCCGATTGTTCTGCAGGTAACTTTCCTCCGGCAGCCCCTCTAGCTAGACATGTGTTCCAAGCACTGTCACTAACAATAACTGATCTAACATTCAAAGTAATGGCATAATAGAATAACTGTAGACCTCATCAGCATTGTCTTTCAACTAGATAACCAAAGAACAGTGAGCTACTTCTTTTATTAAACATAAAGTTGAAAGTTGATCCACCCTTGTGTGTCACTTTTTACCATTTGAGCTAATACCACGTTAAAATGATAGTCAGGTGAGATCAATTAAACAAAAGACAAACTAATCTTAAAAAAAGATCACCAATGAAGCATTGGCTTAATGCCAAAGATGATGATGATGAAAAATTCCCATCTCATTACCGAACAAAAGCAATGGAAAATCAATGAAAACAATAAATACCCAGAAAAGATAACCATCCATTTCATTGCATACTACACTCGTAAATGCAAATCAAACTACATAGAAAACAGAGAATACAGTTTGAAAAGTACATACTAGATTGAGGCCAGGCTCGAAGAAGCCTCCTGGATGAAGAAACCCAATTTCTTGGAAACGAAATTGGAGCATCTGGTGTTGATATTTGGCGCTTGTAAGGTGACGAACTCGTTAAAGGTGTGAATCGAACTGTGCCCAGATATGGTACCATTGTCAAAGCTACCATCATATTTTTTTACTTTATATTTTAAGCTCTTTTTTTATCTAAAAAAATCTTGTAGAGCTTGAAATGTAAAGAATGTAAAGATTACATATAAAATTATGCTTTTCGAATTGAGGAAAAAAATAAAAATGAAAGTTTTCGGTTGGTTTTGGAGAGCGCTGGCTGATCGAAGAAGACAAAATTAAAGGCGAATTTTTGCGCGTTCACTCGTCTAAACGATGTCGTTTATGTCGTAGTGAACCGGATTTAAACTCAGTGTCTTACCTCCTGGCTTTAGACTCCGGGGAATTGGGGTTAAGATAAGAGTTAATTACATCATATATCTTCAAAGTATGACTCTTATTTTAAATTGGTCCTTAAACTTTTAAATATCTCAATTTTACCCATAAAGTATGACTGATTCTAAATTAGTCCTTAAACTTTTGAAAATTCATTTTTCATCCCTAAACTATTACCTTCTTTCTAAATTGATCCCAAACTTTTTGACAATTTTAATTTCATCCCAAACCATACATATACTATTTACATCCCTTGTTACTAAAATTGTTGATCCAAGTTATACTATTGTATGTTCGAAAAAAAAATTATGTTAAATTATGGTTGAAACTAATTACATATTTGGATGAAATTGGGATGTTTAAAAAGCTTGGGGATCATTTAGAATGAAGGTTGTATTTTAGGGATGAAATTGAAATATTAAATAGTTTAAGGAGTAATTTAAAATAAGATACATAGTTTGGGATGAAATTTTTAATATTTAAAAGTTCAAGGACCAATTTAAAATAAAAGTTATAGTTTATGGATATGATGCAATTAACTCTTAGGATAAACAATGGGTATATTATACAGATTGGTACTTGAAGTTTACAACTTTTCTTAAATTGGTGCTTTGACGTTTTATTTTCAATTGATAATTGAACTCGAGTTTTTTTAAATCGATAACTAAATTGAAATTGATGACTAAAATAAGTCGTATTTTGGTACTGTGGTACTCCACTTCAAGCTCGATATTCTATACTCGAAACAACAGTCTACAAGTTCTTAAGAAGGAAATCATTTGTTGTTATGGTTTACTAGAAAGAATCATCTCTGATAATGCCTTGAACCTAAACAATAAGATGATGGAATCAGTTTGTGAGCAGTTCAAGATAAAGCATTATAATTCCACTACTTATCGCCCAAAGATGAATGGGGCAGTAGAGGGAGCTAATAAGAACATCAAGAAGCTTATAGAGAAAATGACTGAGACTTATAAAAACTAGCATGAGAAGTTACCATTTGCTCTATTTGCTTATCGAACTTTGGTACAGACGTCAACTGGGGAAACTCCGTTTTCTTTAGCCTATGGGATGGAAGTTGTGTTACCTATTGAGGTAGAGATCCCCTCACTACGGGTTTTGTCAGAGGTAAAATTAAATGAGGTAGAATGGGTACAAGCCAAATAAGACCAATTGAATTTGATCGAAGAAAAGAGGTTGAAAGCTATTCGTCATGGTCAGATGTACCAAAAGCGCATAATACAAGCACAAGATAAGAAAGTTTACCCCCCAAGAGTTTTGCGAGGGAGATCTGGTGCTTAGAAGGATCCTACCCATTCAAAAAGATTTACGAGGAAAGCGGATGCCAAACTGAGAGGGACCTTATGTTGTGAAGAAAACCTTTTTTGAAGGAGCTTTGATTCTTACTGAGATAGATGGACCAAAATTACCTAACCCAGTGAACTCTGATGCTGTTAAAAATACTTCTCCTGAAGAAAGAAGAAAAAAGAAAAAAAAAGAAAAAAGAAAAAAATAAATAAAAAAGGGGATTCGAGATAAAAATTCATAAAGGACATCTTGAAACCAAATAAGGTCTCAAGTTGAAAACCCATAAAGGGCGGCTTGAGTGTCATTTAAATTCAGGATTTGTGCATGGTGGGGGTTCTGAATTGATTTTAAAGCCGAGAGAGCTCCTGATTTGAGCGGTAACATCAAATGGTGATCAGGGTTTCGGGTTTTAAAGATATGGGTTTAAAGCATCTCGGCTCCTCGTTGGAGCCCCATAGGTAGTAAGAGGCCATGGTGGTCGCTCATTTTTTACCCGAAATACCATACATATATCATTGCCAAAACAGTAGCGTTTTGGGGTTAGGGCAACCCGTGTTTGAGGGAGAGGGGTAAACCGCATGAGAAATCCATCAATTTTCGAGTCGTTACATTTTGGTCCTTAAACCGAGTTCCTCCAAGTTTCTGATCGCAGCCTCTAAGTTTATGTGCCTTTTATTTTAGTCCTTAGGCTTAGTCAATTTAAGTTTTTACTTGTTTGTATATTTGACATGCTATTTTCGAAATTTTATTTTAATCCCACAACTGTTTACGAATTTATTTCAATTTTGGTGCCAAAAATATGATTATTAACGTTTAATGACCTAATTTTGCCTAGTTTATAGTTTTAACCTTAGATTTGCCTATCCTTTCATTTTGGTCACTATGTTATTTTTTTCCATGCATGTATATGTATTCATTTATGCCATATTTTATTTCCTGCGTGATTGGTGGGTTGCTTGCTAGGTGTTAGCCATTTATTTGTTCGTTTAAAGCCTGTGTGTTTAATATATATACATCGTATGGGTCTTTATTATGCCACATGTCACGTTTTTTTTTCTTCAATATGCATGTAAGTATATATATATATATATATATATATATATATATATATATATATATATATATATAAGGTTTTTTTTCATTGAGTGGGCTTCACGTGATGCACATTTTTAAATCTATATATATATATATATATATATATATAAAAGGTTTTATGTTTCATTGAGTGGGCTTCATGTGATGCACATTTTTAAATCATATATATATATATTTTAATATAATCTAACTTTTGTTGTTAATCTTTCGTTATATATATATATATATATTAAATGTAATACGATAAGTTTATTTTTTTTCTTCGTCAAATTATTAAACGAGCTAGTATTAGGGGCATTAGTATATTATTTTTAACTTTTTAGAATACACATATTTTTAGCCAAATTCAAACATAATTAATTTTTAACATTTTTCTAAATTATATATTTACATTTGCTTTGACTATGTTTTTTATATCATCTATTTAATCATTGTTGCATGACATGTATGATATCATCATGAGTATAATTTCATCTTATCAATAATTTAATTAAGTGAAATACCCTTTCTTTTTAAAATCATTGTGAAGTGATTGGACTTTGATTATAAATATCTAATGTTAGTCTTGTATCTGATGGGTTTGATTTTAATGAATGAAAGAAGTCTAGTTGACTTTTCTCTTAGTCTTTTGTTTAGTTAACTTATGTAATTTCACTTTATGTTTCTCCTTCCTCTTCTTGTTTCAGTTCTTCCACCGTTCATCGGAGTCCTTTACTTTGAGCGCCATGAAAAATCAATGTTCGCTCGGTCTTCGTCCATCCGTAGAAGCGGTGGCAAATAGCAACCGGACACACAACTATCATAGCACGTCGGATCCAATACTACACTTGTTTGGCCCGTGGCAAACAGTAGCACGACACCAGCAACAACGTCGTTGCAACCTTACCTTTTCCTCGGCTCACCTCCATACCTCTATGAAAATTATAGGTATACAACTTAGTAAAACTGTTATGATATGTATATATCATATTATCATAAAACTTTTACTAAGTCGTATACCTATCATTTTCATAAATAAATACATATGTCATGTACAAACGAATCAGTACCAACTACCAACTAGTTGCAGGCAAAGATTCCTGTTTTCCTTATTGAAATAGACAATACCCATCATTGTTGAAGGGCTTCAAAGGAATGTAAATTTAGTGGAAAATTCCTACAAATTATTAATTTGAAACCCTGATTCAAAGATATCAAATCCCTTCACGCAACTTCAAGGAAGGTGTGAGAGTGATTTACTGTTTTATTCTCAATCAAATAGCTCTTGTTTCTAGCAGTGCTTGTCAACTCTGCATGATTTTTTGAAGTATCAGGTCATTGTCTTGGGCCATGGAAAATTGCTTCTCTGTACAATTAGTTTCGAGAATATCCTCATTCATGGTTGGGATTGCACTGTCGGGCATGCTGATTACGTGTGCAAGATTAAACAAACTCTTCCGGCTTTGACTGCTGCTCTTGAAGAGCTGAGGGTACAAAAGAATGACGTGCAACGGGAGGTTGATCTGGCAGAACAGCGACAACTTAAGCACTTGATCAAGTTCAGCTATGGCTTTCAAAAGCCGAAACTATGATAACAGAGGCGGAAAATTTGATTGCAGATGGCCCTCAACAAATAAATAACTTGTGTCTCGACGGCTGCCTCTCCAAGTATTGTCTGTTTACCTAAAAGTTTGGGAAAAAGGTGACCAAAATGCTTCAGGACATAAGGGATCACATGAGTACAGAAGTTTTTGAGAAGGTAGCAGAGACTCAGCCTGCTCCTTCAGTTGTAGTAAGACCTGAGGAGCTGCCAATTGCTCTTGAATCCACAAGCTATGGAGCAGTATCATGGACAAAGATGTGGGTATCATTGGCCTCTACGGCATTGGAGGTGTTGAAAAGACAACACTTTTAACCCAAATCAACAACAAATTCAGCACCACACTTGAGGGTTTCGACATTATAATTTGGGCGTTGGTGTCTAGAGATTACAATGTTGAAAATATTCAACAAATCCACTGCGCGTTTTCCATGGAAAATGTTGACATATCGCCACATGGGAAGGCGCATTGCAAGGGCGCGCCTTCCAAGGATTTTCTTACCACATCAAAGGCACGTTTGGGAAGGAGCCTTCCCTAGAAGTATATTTAAAAAAATATACTTTAAAAAATTTTAAGAAATAAAACTATAAGGACCAATAGCATAATTTAATACATATTAGTTTCATGAATTGAAGAGCTTAATGCTTTAGTTTATATAGTCATATTGGAGTGTCTAGGTTATATTTTTTGACACTGTAAAATAAAAGCTAAAAAGTGTATCACTTAACTTTTTTATTTATATATCTAATGAATCCACTTCTACATTATTGTTAAATTTCA